CTCCCTCAAAAAAATAGTCTTCACACCAACCTCAATTTTCTCCCTCCCTGTCAGATGCTGACTGCTATTGTTCAGAGGTACCAGGTGTCTTCGCTGAAATTATTATCTTATTACATTGTTCTAACAATGATGCCCATTTTAACATGGGGAACATCACAACCAAACCGAGACAACAAGGTGCAGGGCTGGATGAACACAGCAGGCCAAGCAGCATCAGAGGAGCAGAAAGGCTGACGTTTCGGGCCTAGGCATTCTCCAGCATCTGCAGTTCCTACTATCTCTGATCACAACCAAACCCACTTCTTTCTTTATGTCAAAAGACGTACCGTCCAATTGGTGCCACTTGACTAGAATGAGGAAAACAGCCTAATTAATTGAGGAGTAATGAGGCCAACTGCAGAGGGTGAGCTGAGTTAGCATGAACTGCCTCAGTACAGACTGCTGGCACCAAGCTCAAAGCCTTTGCCCTTAATTCAATGAGGCATCACAGAGAAATGAGTCATATAATCAAAAGTAGGCCATTCAATTAGAACATTGATTGGAACCTTAACTCCACTCTGGTGTCATAATTCTTACTTGCTTGGCCGAACAAAAATCTATTCATTGCAGCTTTGAAATTTTCCATTGATGTAATAACCTCAACAACTTTTTTGGGGACAGAGTTCCAGATTTCCACTACCTTTCCTGTGAAGAAGTGCTTCCTGACATCACCCCTGAACAAAGCAGCTCTCATGTTAAGATTACGTTGCCTTGTTCTGCCCTGTCCCACAAGAAATTATACAGTTTCACTCTCTCTAGCCTGATAGTTCCTTAAACACCTCAATGATATCACCATTAGTCTCCAGTGAAGGCCATACAAGTCTAGTCAATCATAACTTAGTCAATCCTCATAATTTAACACTGTATAATTCAGATCCATCTGCTGTATCCCATCCAATGCCATTCCATTCTTCCTGTGGTGGAATGACAGGCAGAATATAGTATTTCAAGCAATGTCTGACCAGAAACTTATACAATTATCACATAACTTCCGTGTTATTTGCATTCCCCGAGTTATTTTCTTCTACCTGGGCACTGATTCCTTTGCCCACTAGGCCATTGGGTGAGCATCTTCACTGATTCTAACATTGTTTCAAGTAAATACAGAAAGTCATTCAAAAAGCCACTACTTTCTGCAAGGGCACAATCCCTTTCCCGAAATTTGCTGACCATAATTCACAGACAGTTGGGAGGCTCATTATGGAGTTTGACGGCACAAGGGAGCAGCTGAAGGTCATGGAGATGTTCACAGTGCAGCCTGGTTATATTTTACCACACATTTACAGTTCAGTGGTTGGATCTGTGCAAAGTGAAATTACTTTTCAGCAATGTTACTATGGTATTCCACGTGTACCGTTAAATTGACATTGAGATAAGACCTTAAACTGCAGTAGGCATGAAAGATCCCGTGGAGCTATTGAGAAAGGGAAGGGGTTGTTATTCCCTGTGCCCTGGCCAACACCTAAAACAGATTACGCAGCCATTATTACATCACTGCTTACATTTGCCTACACTTCAAAAACGGCACAGTGGCTCAGTGGTTAGCACTGCTGCCTCACAACGCCAGGGATGCAGGTTCTATTCCACCCTCAGGCGACTGTCTGTGTGGAGTTTGCACATTCTCCCTGTGTCTGCGTGGGTTTCCTCCCACAGTCCAAAGATGTGCAGGCTAGGTGGATTGGCCATGCTAAATTGCCCATAGCATCCAGGGATGTGTAGGTTAGGTTGATTGGCTGTGGGAAATGCAGGGTTACAGGGATAGGGTGGGTCCTGTGGTGGGGGGAGGAAATCCTCTTCAGAGGGTCAGCATGGACTTAAGGGGCCAAATGGCCTGCTTCGACACTGCATGGATTCAATGTTTTATTTGGCTATAAAATTGTTTTAGGATATCCCATGCTGTGAAAGGCACTATAGAACTGAATTCCATTTTTTGTAGGAAAATATACTTTTTGGTAGAGAAATATTTTCTGAAAGGCTTTGCCACGGTGCATTTTTGACAAATATTGGACAGCTGAAGGAACGGCTGCCTTCAAACCTCATTATTGACAACATGCATTTATTTAACACCTCCTGAGGCTGTGAAACACTCATATCTTTCACAGGAACGTTACCATAAATAATGAACACTGAGCCACTTAAGGAGACTCAAGGACAGCATGACTTTAAGAAGTGGTTTAAATGGAAGACAGAAGTGGAAAGAGGGAGAGATTTTGGAAGTGAATTGCAGAGTTTAGGTTCTAGACAGGTACAGGCAGGGTTGGACGTCTGCAGTGGGGGGTGGAGCATACATTTAGATCTCGAGGAGAGTAAAGATCTTAGAGAAACATATGAACAAAGTAGGTTACAGAGAAAGGGACAGCTACAGAGAGATGTGAGCACAAAGACCAGAATCAAAAATTCTTCCAGGCTCTAGACCTGCAGCCAAGGTCATGGCTGCCAGTCTTGGGAATATTGCAGAGTCTGCTTTGATTCAAGGCCATTTATTTCAGTCACAGTTTGTCAATTGCGAGTGCCAATGCTGCGGAATAGATCAGGCTTGGGACATTTGAAGGGAGCGAGGAATGGGTGCAGAGTAGTGTGTGGAGTTTCGGTCTCCTTCTCTGAGGAAGGATGTTCTGGCTATTGAGGGAGTGCAAAGAAGGTTCACCAGACTGACTCCCGGGACGGCAGGACTGACGAACAGGGACAGACTGAAATTGGTTACAACTATAAATCACTGGAGTTTAGAAGAATGAGTGTGGAAATCGCATAGAAACCTATGAAATTCTAACAGGTTTAGATAGGGCAGATGCAGGAAAGGGAGTCCAAAACCACGGGTCACAGTCTAAGGGTAAGGGGTAAGTCATTTAGCACTGAGATGAGGAGGAAATTCTTCCTCCAGAGAGATTGGTGAGCCTGTGGAATTCCCTGTCATGGGCAACTGTGAGGCCAAAACTTGAAGACTTTCAAGAAAGATGTAGATACTGTTACTTGGGGTTACAGGAATCAAAAGATACAGGGAGAAAGCAGGAACAGGCTGTTGAGTTGGATGATCAACGATGATCACACTAAATGGTGGAGTAGTTCAAAAGGTCAAACAGACGACTCCTGCCCCTATTTTCCATATTTCTCTGGGTGGGAATGAGGATGCCTTTGGCACTGGGTACCCCAAGAATTCCTCAACAAGGTGCAGAACTGGATGAGCACAGCAGGCTAAGCAGCCCTTGGGTCTCGGCCCGAAACGTCAGCCTTTCGGCTCCTATGATGCTGCTTGGCCTGCTGTGTTCATCCAGCTCTGCACCTTGTTGTCTCGGATTCTCCAGCATCTGCAGTTCCTACTACCCCAAGAATTCCTCAAGTGGCTTTGTTCAGAGGGATGATGGAGGAGGCTATTGGAACTGAATCCAATCTCAGGATTCTGAAGATGAGCAGAATCTGCAAATGTCAATATCAGGTCCATTCACAGATGAGCAGTTGCCTTAGTATTCAACCTCCTGGCAACTGGTCACTATGCAATTTATTTAATTCTAAAAACTATTCTTCGGCTGTGGGGGATAATATAAAGAGTGTGTTTCCATCTGCTGGGCCAGGTAAAGTTTGGGAGTGTTATGTCACTTGGTTCCCCAGGCTTTCCAAAGGCCTAGTCTGGTGGCAAATGGGTGTAACTCAGAAACAACAGACTGTGCGATGACAGCAGAGAGAGGAACAGCTGGATTGCTTTGCTTGTTGTTATTTGTAGTGCTATTTTGGGGCTTGCAGTAAAAGCAAAATGACTGAGGTGGCTAGTTTTCAATGGCAACATAGATAGAATCAGAGGGTCACAATGCACTGAGGGATTTCTGTTGATAAATCACTGACATCCTCTTACCCCCTGTGAAACATACATTCTCTTATTTATTGTAATCCTACCAACCCGGTTTGTCGGCAGCAACAGACTGATGAAAGAGGACAGAATATCATGTCACGAAAAACATTTTCATTTATTAAGCCAACTTAAGCCTTGGAAGACACGATTTTGGACGGGTTAACGACCAATCCCATTGGAAACCTCTGCAATCTAACGGCCCGTGCCTTTACCATCTATTTGCCTAACATTTCAACTCCCCTTAACACAGTACCCCTTCAACAAACAAACACAAGGAGGTTTTTTTTTGCTCTATAAATACTTGCGAGCATTGAGAGGCGGTTACCTATCCAACCGAATTCTCTTTGAAACAACAAGCGACATATTAAAGGCGATTAAAGGATTAGATAAATCAAAACCTTCAACAAAAATTAGACAAAGCTTTGAATGATGCATTCTGCAAAATGCAGACGTCAAGTTACAGGATCAGCTCTCCCACACCTCCCTCCCCAAATCTTAAATCAAATCCGCAATACAGTCATTAAATTGAAGGTATCCGTTTGCAAACCAGGAATTACCACAGGCATGTATACAGAGAGGCGAAGGAATTCAATGCCCCAAGGGAGGGGGGGGGGGCCTTTTACAGATAAAATCTCTTCCTACTCTGCACCAATTTGACATCCCACAACCTAGTCAATTCTGGCGTCACTTGACAGCAGTTATGTGCAGCGACCGACTAAGCAGATCTTATGGTGTGTAAACACAGGTCCTCGACTGCACGGTAATAACGTTATTGCATGACACTGAAATTCCTTTTGCCAGCAAATAGCAGTCTTTTGCATGGACTCTGCTACCTCTTGCTCTGCAGTCGCAGAGAGAGAGAGAGAGAGAGAAAGATAGTCAGCAGCTTCCCTACCTCCCAGAAGGGGACAGGCATGGCTATAGGATGCACCAAGATCCTGCAGTCAAACATTACATTGCCCAGCCTCCAGACGAGAGCTGGGGAACTGGGATGCAGAGGCCAGAGATCCTAAGGAAGGGACAGCTAGCCGCCCACACGGACTGCCCGACGCGGTGAAATTTCACATTTCTGGAATGAGCCCTTTCATCTTTTTTTTAAATTAAAAATAACACTCACCTCCTTTACTTCCGGGAACTCCCCTTATTTACCATGGACAAGCCTTCTTGCAATTTCAGCCGCACGATTAATGGGGGATGATCCTGGATATTTTTTTTTGTTTTGTTTTTGCAAAATGAATCAGGGAGAGCAACGCAAAATGAATGTCATTGCATTCCAGGCTGCCGCAAGCTGCTGTTCTGTCGGATTGGCTGGCCGCAAGTTAGCCATTAGCAATAGCAAAAACAGAAGGTAGAACCTCACCAGGAATGAACTGGGGATGAAGTCATTCCCTTTAACAGGATGGCGTCATTGGCAACCAATCAGGAGGCTGGAGTGACGTCACCCAGCCCTGGGGTGCCGATTAAAGGGAGCTTGTCTGCACCGCGCTGCCACACGTCTTCTCAGTGCATGTTATTCCAGCCAGCATGCAACTCTAAACACCGGCTGGAATACACATTCAGAGTCTCTGATATAGCCATCCACCAATTGCCCAGTTTCTCCCTTCCACGTATTTACAACTGGCCAATGTTGCCCAAATGCACACATGCAAGTCTCAACAGGGCACTGTAACTGTGCTCAGTTTTAAGAATTAATCTCTTCGGTTGATATGCAGGTAAGGCTGCCTTATACCTGGCTGTATCTGCTCGCAAAAAAAGACCCTGAACTACCTGTTGCCTGCCACTTCAATGCACCACCCTGCTCCCTGGCCAACATCTCTGTCTCTGGCTTGCTGCAGTGTTCCAGTGAAGCCCAACACAAGCTGGAGGAGCAACACCTCATTTTCCGCTTGGGGACCCTACAGCCCTCCCGACTCAATATTGAGTTCAATAATTTTAGCGCCTAAACTCTCCCATGTCTCAGCCCCCCACCCCACACATCAGGCCTTGTTACCACATAGCCTGCCACTACACACCCCCTGTTGTTAGTCACTAACAGTCCCCATTAACAACTATTCACCCTCCCAGCCTGATCGTTAGCAACTCCCTTGTCTGTCCAACTGTCTTTCTCTCCCTTTGGACTCTATCCTATCGTTTACTCCCTACCTCACCCACCTCCCTATTTTCTGCGTATAAACTGACGTTTTCCCAGCCACCATCAGTTCTGAGGAAGGGTCACCGGACCCAAAACATTAACTCTGTTTTCTCCTCCACAGATGCTGCCAGACCTGCTGAGCTTTTCCAGCAACTTTGTTTTAATACCTGGCTGTGTTCCCATTGCAAAGTCTGATGCATGTCATGCTCTGGGGAGTATACAAGAAATTGGTAAAGCTGTTTCAAATTTTGTGGTCAGTGTTCTGCAAGTCTAATGGACTCAAATTGTTTTTTTTCAAAAAAAATTAAAAAGAAACCTAAAAGTATTGTTATCATATTTCCTGCCATTCTGCAGAGATCTGAGCCTTCAAAGTGATATTAACTTTACTAAATGTGTACACTATAATTTTATTTTGATAGGAACAGCATGTATTGAGGTGGAAATTGATGCTTGTAGGGGATTTCTACACTGAATATTATATCACTTTTTCAAGGGGAAAGAACAGTGCACATTGTGTTGTTCCACATTTTAAAGTGTCATTTCCCTATTTTATTACATGCTTGCTCTGAAAAGGGATGTTTTAGCTTTTGGGTGATTCCTCAGGGGTAATCTTGCTTGATCAATCCTGCTGCACCTCATGACCAAGAGATCTTGCCTGAGTGCTGAAACTGGCCAGATTCCAGAGAAACCATTCAGTTCTGTGATCTCCAGCGTCTGTTGTTTTCAGTACAGATTCAAGCATCAGCAGTAACTTGCTCCTACAAACCATTCAGTTCAGCGTGTTAGAAAGGACAGGTGATTTCAGCATTATTCATATTCCACAAATTCTCCATGCGGATTGACCTGCGCTACAATCCTGCCTGAGGCAGACTGTGAAGGTGCCAACCAGTAGAACATGAGGGGTTCTGAGGAAGGATCACTGGACTCGAAACGTTAACTCTGTTTTCTCCTTCGCAGATGCTGCCAGACCTGGTGAGCTTTTCCAGCAACTTGGTTTTTGCTCATGAGAGGGAGGGATGCCTTTGGTTGATGTCTCCCAAATGCTCATTTCTTAGCTCTCCAGTGGGGTGGGTGGGAAGGGTGTAAGGTGATGGTAGCTTGAAGATCTAAAGTAAGCAAAATGCATTTTTAGTGTTTTTCTAGATGCTATTTATGCAAATACATTTTTTGTGATCTTACAGTATGTTAAAGGATATGCTATCCATCTGCGGTAGAAACTCTAAACCGTATGAAGAAAGAAAAACTCATATTTATACATCACTTTATCATACCTTGTAGGATGTTCCAAAATGCTTCATATCTAATGATTGACCTTTTGAAATGTAGACATTGTTATTAATTGGGTCAATGAAATGCAGAAAGTCTAGTGAGCTACCATGATGCTGTATTTGGGGATTTGAGACTAAGTCTAGTTCTAAAAAGAAACATGGATCAATGGTGAAGCATACTAGTCCAGGATACAAACGTAAGGCTTTAATAGGATACATGTTGTTAAACCTGTATTGTCTTTTGCACTTTCAGATCACACATCATGTCCCTATGTTATAGTTTGGTTTTATTTATGCTTCGTTGTTAAGAAAGAAAGAATTTGCATTTCTGTAGCATCTTTCACATCCTTAGGACAGTCCAAGGTGCTTCATGACTTAGGAAGTGGAGTCACTGTGATGATGTGGCAAATGGCAAAACTGGTTGCAATTTTGCAAATAGACAAAGCAGTTGGTTGAAACAGATGTGTTTCTCTTTCATGCAGCTGTGGGGAGCTGAGAGACCCAAGAGGGAGGAGTTTGGCACCCCCACTGGCAGGAGGCTGGAATTACAATCTAACACATTTACAGAGACAGTTCCTATTACAAATATGGACACAAGAATTTAGAATAGAAAGTTTTGACACGACAATGTGACAGCAGTATCTAAAATTTTGTAGGCAAGAAGTGGTTATACATACAAGTGCAAATTAGGAACAGAAGTTCAGCCCCTTGAGTTTGCTCCAACATTCAGAAAGATAATGGCTGATCTGTTTGCCTGTTGAATTCACTTTTACTTGATAATCTCTGATTCCCTTGCCCAGCAGGAATCTATTTACAATCACCTTAACATATTCAATGATCAGAAGTCCACCACTGTAGTGATTGGAACCATGGCTGGGTGGGCTCATAGATTGTGAGATCCTTGATTGGCATTGTTAACCTGGGCCAATCAGGGAGCCCAGGCTGGCAGACATAAACAGGAGATTCAGAACATGTCCTCAACCTTAGGGATTGAGCTGGTTGGTCAGAGCCCATGTACCGTGCACATGTAAATAAAGGCTTGCTGATGGGATACCGGTCTCTGTGCAGTTATTTCAATCACCGTCTAAGATAAAGAGTCTCACAACCAGCTGAGAGAATAACATTCTCTTCATCTCTGCCCGAAAAGGGTGACACCTAATTTCTGAACAGTGTGCCCTAATTCAGGGTTGCCTGCCACTCCCCAGATACAACATCGTGATAGATCACTAGTGCCATATGAGACTTTTGGCATTTTATTAACCCACTTAATAATATTGTCCACACTTCAAAAGGACATTCGTTAGATGTGAAGTACTTTGGGACTTCTTATGAGGTATGGTAACATCATGATTAAATAGGAGTCCTTCTTTCTTCACATGGTTTTCTATCAGACGAATAGCATATTATTTGCCATACAGTAAGGACACAGAAAATGCTCCTTTCCACTTCCATCTTGCCAATTCCTTTTGGGATCTTATACATTTCAATCAAGTCACTTGTCACTCTTCCAAACTCCAGTGGAAGCAAGCCTAATCTCTCCATCTCTTCTCATACCTATAATGCACCTCAGCTGAACTACCTCCACTGCATTTCCATCCTTCCCTCAATCAGGAAACCAAAATTGTACGCAGTATCTGAGATATGGTCTCACCAATGCCCTGAATAACTTAAGCATAAATCCTTACTTTTATGTTCATTTTCTCTCATAATAAAGGGTAGCATTCAATTATTTTTATACTTACTGTAGTACCTGCTACAAATGACTCACACACTCGAACTCCTGTGCATTTCAGAATTCTGCAGTCCTCTGTCTAAAAGTACATTGCTTTTGGATTGTTCCTGTCAAATAACTTTGTATATTCCCATTACATGCTCTGTCTGCCAGATTTCTCCCTAGTCACTCAACCCATCTTTATCCGTCTGCATCCTCCTTGTGCGCTCTCCACATCATACTTTCCTATCGATCTTTGAGTCATTTGCAAATTTAGCTACCATGTCTTTTCTCCTCCCATCTAAGTCGTTGAAGTAAATTGAAAAAGTTGATGCCCCAGCAAAGACCCATTGTGGGATGCCTCTCATCATATCCTGCCAATCAGAAAAAGACCCAAAGACGTTTTCAACTAGCCAGCCAATCGTTTGCCCATGTTGATACGTTCCCCTCTGCACCACGAGTTCCTACATTGTGGAATAATATTTTATGTAACACTTCATCAAATAGCTTCTGAAAATCTAAGTGCAGTTTGTCTACGGGTTCCCCTTTACCACAGCACAAGTTACTCTGTCATCCAATGGTATGATTTCCCTTTGATGAAACCATGCTGACTCTTTCTGATTACATTGGGTTTTCCTAAGTGCCCAGCTATAACCTTATTACTGATTAACTTTATCATGCCCTCCACAGCAAATGTTAAGCTAAATGGCTATCATTTTCTGTTTTCTGCCTCCATGTCTTTCTTGAAAAGAAGGGTTACATTTGCCATTTTCCAGACTGACAGCAATTTTGCACCTGGATTCCTATTAACCCACACTCCTAGTGGTTGTACTAAAATGAATGAACAAACGAATGATGTATTCCCACATATATCTTGAAAGTACAGTGAAAAGTGTTTTGTCACACAAGTGTTTTGTGTTTTGTCCGATGCAGTTTTGAGTTACAATGAGGATAAAAAGAAATTACTTTAAAAAAAGTAATCTTCTGTTCAAATTAGGGTGTCAAACACAGCTTCAGGACTTCTGCGAGGTCTCTGCAAGGTGTTCCAGTCCTCAAGGGCTCCAGCTCTGGGAACAGCAATGACAATGTTGATGCCCCCAGGAGCTTGTCTGATAACCCTCAACTCTATTTTCCTGCCTTATTCCCATAATCCTTGATCCCCTTGATTAAAAGTCTGTCCATGTCAACCTTGAATACAAATAATGAGCCAACCTTGACCATGCTGCGAGCTAAAGAATTCCAAAAATCCTGGCTCAGCTGCTGCC